GTTGTCTAAAGAAATTGATACAGTAACTTCTCGTAAAGATTTAGAATTTTCTCTCTGTCAGTGCGAGAAGATATTTAGGCTTGAGTAGAACTAGGCTTAAAAATATGCATTTATGATGTATAAAGGTAGAGAGAGAGTCGTATTTGAATACTGCTGGATACATTTTGTTTGTGTGATATGCTTTGTTTTGTCCATCTGGACATTTGTAACTTATTGCACTGAAGTGAAAGCTGTGAACTCAACTTCTTGTTAAATAAAGTGTGTGTTTGTGATTCAGAGAAGAAAAAGAGCGGGACCGAGGAAGAGGAGGCGCTGGAGGAGGAGAGGAAGAAGAGCCTGTCCATCCTGCAGAGCGTCCTCGGCAGCAGCCAGCACACCTCCAGCAGCAGCAAGACCACCAGCAAGGCCAAAACCTTCAGGTAGCACACTGACTCACTCACATTCACACAATCTGGACACGTTTCATCTGAAATAGGAAATAAATCCAAATAATCAAATGTGTGTTTGCAGAGATGTGTCAGCGCTGCACTACGACCCCAGCAGAGAGGAACACGCTGCGTTTGAGACCAAGACAGAGGACACCAAGAAAGAGAGGTACGAATACAGAAAGTATAAACCCACCGATCCATGTCATCTGCTCGGATTCTGACCCAAATAACTAGACATATTTTATAGGTTTAAGTCTGCCAAAGACAAACCAATCAAAATGTACAAAAAGGTCATCTTTACCAAATACTTGTATGCAGGAATGAGTCCTAAAACCAAGAAATAAATTAGTATTTTACAACTTCTTGATCCCTAATCTGGATTTCAATGGATTCCTCAAAGGGGTACATGGTCAGATGCCTGAAATAAGTCTGTGGTTAACACAAGCTTAAGAGATTGTCTTGTTCCATTCTATGAAATAAAATGCGTCCCTGGTTGAAGCTTTTACAGTACGTGCCTTTTAAAAACGGCGGTTGCTCACAAGTGGCTAAAAGGTTGTTGGGAACATTTAATGTCAACACACTTTAAAAGGCTTGTTGAGTTTAAACTCATGGCATGTCAATCTTCCCAACTTATTATATCACCACACTAAGAGGAATGACTTTTGTAGAGGATGAAGTAGGGCTGCTCAATTAATCGTATTTTAATCACAATTACGATTATGATTTTTGCCATAATCGATCAGCCCTAGGATGAAGTCATGTGACTGCGGTGTTGTTCAATTTGATCCTAACATATCTCTTTCACTTCTGGTGATTTCATTGAATCTTAAAAAGCATAAAAGGTGTTGGAAGTATTTTGAAGATTATCTTGCTGAACAAAACCTGTATGCATTATAAATGTTTGTTTGCCCGAGAGCTTATTATCTGCAATAATCCAAAATCTAATAAAAAAATATCACGATGCCTTTTTGTCGAAGCAACCAGGGTTATGATAACTTCCAGGTTGTTCTCAAATACAGGTCTAAGGTCTAAAATACATCTGTCCTCCCCTCCGCCCTTTATTATCAGCTCTACCTGTACTTCTGTAAAACTGTCATGTGATCTGATGTCTTCACAGTAAGGCAGCCAGGAGGAAGAAGAGGGAGGAAGCTCAGAAACTCCCGGAGGTTTCTAAAGAGATTTACTACGACGTGTCCGGTGACCTGAAGGCTGTGTTCGGTCAGACAAAGGAGGAGGAGGAGGAGGAGGAGGCTGTTGCAGAAAAAGAGGAGACAAACTGGGACCAAGAGGAAGAGAAAAAAAAAGAGGAGGCAGGAGAACAGGTTGAACAGCCGACCCTGGAGTCTTCCCTCCTGTCAGCTGATCGTGGCGCAGAGAAAGAGGAGGCGTCAGGATTTAAGTTCTCTTTCTTTGGAGACGACGTAGAAACAGGAAGTGGAGAGACAGGTAGGTCTTATCTCAGATATTTACTTTGACTCTCATACCCCATTCACACCAACGGTGTTTCGGGGCCGGTTCGGTGCTGGTGCTTGAAAAGCACCGGGTTTTCCTGTTCACACCGCAGCGGAGCAGCCTCTAAGCTCCGGAATCCGGTTCGTTTCGAGCACCAAAAAGTTGTCCGTGTAGAAGCAAGAACCGCATACGTCACGCTTACGTCGGAGGGGGGCGAGATTAACCTGAGCTAACAGTTAAGGCGAGTACGGCAAATAAAAGTTGTAACAAGCAGTAGTGCTGAGCAAAGTGACTAGAACGCAACCACACACTTGTTAAAAAAAAACACACTTTATAAAGTCAGGCAACACTAACCAGGCTTCGTGTGATTCTGTTTATTTGTACCTTACTTTGACCATCCGTTCGCTGTTATTGATCATTGTGGAGAGCAGGCAGACGTTTTGTTTGTTATTATAGCAGCTATCGGATGGAATCAATACATGGGCTGCACAGGTTGTCATGTCCGACTATCACAAGTAGAATCATAATGAAAAATACGTCGGTAAAAAGTGCCTGTAGAAAACTGCTTAGCAAGTAGTCAGTTTAGCTTCGGTTGCTATGCTAACATCACCCATTTTATACCAGAGAAACTTTCATAACAGCGTTGTGATGCCAAACAGCGTCAATTCAGACTGACACACATTCACTTAAAGGGAACTGGGGATATGTATCAGCTGCTTGTGTGACAGTCAGACAGTGAATACTTTAGAGCCGTGTGAGCTAACCCGGAGCTAACGGGAGAATACACTCGTGGAAGAGCAGCAGCACTGCAGCGGTCGGTAAATGCCGCTGAAACACATTAATAAACAATGAACCACGGCACTCTGGAGAAAAGTATAAGGTTGGAGAAGTCGTTATTTAATTTAATCTGGCTTCGTATGATTAAAAGCAACGCAGTCCCCGGCCCGTTGTTGTTGTGAGGTGAGCTCCGTTGGGGAGAAAATCAGCGACGTAAACTGTGACGTCATGACGCAGCAGCGGCAGCACCAGTCGGGCTCTGAGCGGTGTGAAAAGAGCCGGAGCTAAACCGAAGTACCGGTTCTGAACCTGAAAAGCTCTAGCACGGAGCTTGAACCGGAGTTGCGTTGGTGTGAAAGGGGTAACAGAGAGATGATTTTCTTTTAATACTTTTTATATATCTGCCAGCTGAGTACAAGATAGAGAGCATCCAGGCGCCAAAGCTGTCATGGCAACAAGACCCACGTTTCCATGACAGCAGCTCAGATGAGGAGGAGGAGAAGAAGGGGCAGGAGGAAGAAGAGAAGACGCAAAGCAACGTCATCGCCAAAATGTGAGAACATTCCGATTGATTCCTGTAAACTGCTCGATGTATTCAAATTCCTCTTTTGTTTGAGCTATTATTCTAACAGCTTCAAGTTCACCATCTATCAGTCGGGTTCTAAACTGTTTCTGTTTCTGTGCACAGAGAGGAGACTCCAGCAAAGACCGGCCTTTTCTTCTTCTACCCTGAAGACAGCAGGCTGACCGGTAAGATGAAGACGAAGATGACAAAAGAAGATCTTGTATATCTTTGTCCCACAGACACTGTTAAATGTTTGCCTGGTGGAAAACCTACATAACAGACTGATAGCAAACTGATTTTAAAATGTTTCTCTCCGTGTGTTTCCTCCATCAGAGGGTCCCAAGTTGTTCTGCCGCTCCTCTCAGCTGGAGGAGCAGAAGGAGCAGTGGGAGGAGAGGAGGACCGAGCTCAGACAGGTGACCTTCAGTTTACATCAACTTCTCAGTCATTCTGTCATTTAGGCCAAAATAATTCAGAGGTTTTCTTCTACTCGATAAAACAGCTGGATTGTATTTATGTTATCAATATACTTAGCTGTTGTTTAGGGCTGCATCTAACGATTATTGGTCATTTTTTATTAGTCTTCCAATTTTTGTCCATAAAATTACACAAAATATGAAAAAGGCCATCTCAGTTTCTTTGAGTTGAAGAACTTTAAATGTTCATTTTGATTTGTACATGTTTACAGAAGTAATGCTTTATTAACATCAAACTCAGAGTTGAATTTGGGAACATTTGTTAAAGACATTTCTATTTTTTGTTTCTACAGGAGTATCGCAAGAAACACAAGGATGCCCGGAGGAAGCTGAAGACCTCTGTAAAAAGCTGAGGATTATGGGAGGTGAAGTCTCATTGTTAGGGTTTCCCCTCACTGGTATGGACTTTAGAAATATTCATCTCCTTTGTGCCGTTTTGAGCCCCAGACAGGTTTCCACAGTCAGCAGGAGAGACACCCAATGGGAAAGTTCAAGATCATCTATTACTTTTTAACCTGGGAAGTACTTCCTCTTGGTCCGTCTGGTTTTGTTTTCTTGTTGGTTTACTGCTGCAAATAACCTTGTGGACAATCAGCAGAATTAGCCAATCACAACTGCAGAGGACCAAACCTGTTAATACAAAGGGTTCAAATACATAAAGAAGAGTTTATTAAAACTTTAATAAAAAATAAATGTGCAAAAATGTATGGCATTTTCTTTTATTTTGTTGATTTCACTTTGTTTGTTGAATTGTATTGTATTGTTTATTTAAACGCAAAAGTCTCCCCAATTCCAGAAATCACTTAAAGTGGACTTATCATGCTATATTTGAATAATATAGTGTAGGACCATACCTATATAAGGCATATTTATACTTTTTTTTTTTTCAAAATACCAAACAGATCATGCATTTCAGCCATGCCTCATTTCGCTCAATTTGACATTTTTTAGCTCTGTTGTTGCAAGGGCAGATTCTGTGAGAACAGCACCACCTACAGGCCTGGCATATGTACTACAGCGTCTCCAGCGCTTTCGAACGGCAATGGCCGTGGCTGTCTCCTCCTGATTGGTGGAGTTGGCCCAATAGCCGTAGCGCCACTGTCCTGACGTCAGGACAGTGTTCAAATCTGGATCAGTTTTCATCAGATCCGTTGCAGCCCCTTTTTTAGAGATTTGGGTATGGAGGAAAATAGAGAGGGTTGTGTTTTCTGACACTTGGTGAGTTCCCTGGAACACCGGGGACACATATTCATGTATAAAAGACGTACACAAGTGCATTTTGCATGATAGGTCCCCTTTAATTTCACTGTATTTCATATTTTTTTGGTTCCATCCAGTCCATTTTAATGGAGAAAAACAACTTATAAAAGACCAAGAAGTGTATCATCAATGTTACATTTAAAACGCCCTCATGTCCATTTTCACTGTTCACTTCAGTTTGCCTTTATTTTGAAATGTATAACCGGAAGCTCCGTGTTGTATTCATGATGAGCAACAAGTGCTGAGGGCCTGAGGCAGCAGACTCAAAACTTCTGCATCAGGACCGGACGGTGGTCGGACTCAGAAAAACTGATTTATGGACTTTTTTTAATAACACAAGTTATATAAGTTGTTGCAGCACATGTCTGTGAAAGAGACGGATCACACGGAACTGTTGTTGTTACTTAAACTGTAACGAAAATGAGTCCGGTTTTGTTTCTTCTGCTGCTCTGTCTGCGAACCGCGGAGCTCCGTCACAGATCAGCCCGGGAGGTTCAGCCGGGGTCTGCGATGGAGACGGAGGATGCTGGACCTCCGGCACCGGGGACAAATGATGTTCTCTCCCCGGATAGGACTTCTCTAGCCCGAAATGAAAGTTTTAAAGTTCCCGGCCTGAAGCGGGTCCCCCGTGGAGCAAAGGATGGTAATTTCAGGAAAAGAGAGCCGCACTCACCGAGCAGTAACGGGCGACCGTACGACGACCCGAGCGGTTACTTCACCACCACCCCACGGGCAGCCTCCTCAGCCCGGCCCGGTACTAACTCATCGTCAGTCCGCGGGTCGGGGCTCCTCAACCCGCTGTTCCCGGTCACCGATGGCTCCTACGCGGCGTACGCGGTAATGCTGCTGGCCCTTGTGCTGTTCGCCACGGGCATCGTTGGTAACCTCGCGCTCATGTGCACAGTGTGGCACAACCTGTACCTGAAGAGCGCGTGGAACTGCATCCTCGCGGGGCTGGCTTTCTGGGATTTCCTCGTGCTGTTCTTCTGCCTCCCCGTGGTCATCTTCCATGAGCTCACCTTGAAGAGGTTGCTAGGAGACCTGTCCTGTCGGCTCGTGCCCTATTTGGAGGTGAGAAGGGGCAGATGAATGTGTGAAACGTTTTAATTTACTAAAGTTGTATTTACTTAAACATTACTCTGCCGAAACTTAAGTTAGACTGTTGAAGTTGTGAGAAAATAGAAACGAGCAACTTAAACTTTTCAGAATGTGTGCCAAAAGACTAAAATTGCCAATATATCCCAAAACTTTGAACAAGAGTCTAAAACCCAATTACATAATTTTCTCTCATTTTTAAAGAGAGAAAAGCAGCAAATCCTCACAATAATGTAATCTTTGCTATTTATGTAGTAGGCTAACCATGAGTTGCTTCTGAAAGTATTTAAATTCTCTCTATATATATATATATATATATATATATATATTATAGATATATATATATAGAGATATATATATAGATATAGATATATATATATATATAGAGATATATATATATATAGATATATATAGATAGATACACACACACACACAAAAACGTGGATGTCTTTGTCAAGAGATGTCAAACAACTTAAACAGTTCAAACAAACTACTCAATGTGATGATAATTAAGTCTGCCTTCACACTGTCAGTGCTGTTTTTATACCCCCATGTTAGACTCATTGTAAATGTTATCCAGTTTAATAAAGAGACACCAGGGCCGTGATGAATGGCCTGTCTGTGTCTTGTTGCTGCTCAGTTTCAGACTCAGAGCAGTAACAAACGTGCTGTTATGGGCTGTTTGGCATCTGAAGCCGTCTGTTATGAAGCAGCAGTAGAGGCCGGTGGGGCCCTGCATCAAGAGACTCTTCTTCCCCAGCTCACAATGAAACACAGAGCCATAGTTATCAAGGACCTAGGTTGAATTTGGGGACATGGAAGACAAGTTATGCTTTCCAGAGGGGGGAGTTAACATTTTAAAACGAAAACATTTCTTTGTTATTTTAAGACCCAGTGTTTCTGCACTATGGGTTGTACTTGTATATTATTCCCCTTGGCACTGATGAAAGATTAAAACAACATGAAAACTATTGCTGCAATCATGTTAATTGATAAATCACACAATACATTTTTAACGAGTCGTTTAGATGTCTCTAGAATCTCAGAAAATGAAAAAATAAATCCATAAAAATGTCCTAAAGCACAAGACAGCACATCTTCTAATTGCTTGGTTTGTCTAAGAAATGTACAAACCAAAAGATAAGACATATAAATATATATTTTACTTACCTGCTCTGTCTCAAAGCGGCTCTACATGTTGATAATGTTTATATTGTACACATCTTACTGTCCACATGTACACGTATGTATATATATTTCTATACTTTTTTTAAATGATAATGTTCTTAAAGCTAAATAATTATGTGAAAGTTCATGCAGTATCTCAGTTTTTTGGGTGAGTTTCCTTCACAGAGTATTAACTGAGATCCCTCCCAGCCTCTTGGCTACCATTGTTGGGTTTTCAGCAGCTTCATCTGTCTTCTGTTTCATCGTGTGGAGTCCTTGTTTTTGGCTCTTAACCACTTCCAAACGCCTACACAGCTCTAAATCACTGAAGTGGAGTTTCACTAATTTGTAATAACAGCTTGTACGAAGCAGTCTTTAACAAGGTCAGGGTGCTGGCCTCTTCCTTTCTTTGTTGCTTCACCTATTTTCATGCAAATTAATGACTGCATTTTTTTCTAATTAATTAAAGTTCTCAAAATGGTCTTTAGCAGTTTGTGGTCTCCTTATTGAGCAAAGTTGAAAGTGGGTCAGGCTGCCAGCTGCCCCTGTGCTCTGTTAGTTAAACTATTTTCATGCTAATTAGAGCTCTGCTTCTGTCTTAATTATCTTCCGTTGTGTCTTAACTGTTTGAGGCCATTAAGCACTCTCTGTAATGATAGTCTGTGTTTTTGGCTAAAACCACCAACGTTAATGGGCACGAGGCACCAATAACTGTCTCCAGTCTGTCGGCTAAAAGCTGCGACAACATAATGGCTCTTTATTCCCTCTGTGGCTCCTTTTATTTCCCTGTTTCTGTATTCTAAGGCAGTTTCTTAGAACCTTGTTATTACTGTAGTTGTGGCTAATTTCCCTGTAGGCTGGCACAATAAGGCAGAGGAAAGCCGTAAATCTGTTTTTTAAGCAACAAAACACCTTCCTGTGGTCTATTTAAACCATCTGTCTGCATGAAGGCGTGTTTTGTCTGAGTCGTGCTAACAGGTCACGTCTGACTGAACTAAGAGCAGCCGCATGAATGAATACAGTGAAAGTTAAGCTACTTAAAAGAAGCTCTGCAATGTTCAAAGATTTTTTTTTTTTAATATATTAGATTGTTTAAATAACTTTAGATTATTATTATTATTATTATTATTATTATTATTATTATTATTAGATGGTTTAAATAATGTTGTACTGTTTAAATCCAGAGCAGGCTATCACCTCTGACTGGTGTCTGGCGTCTTCTCTGTACTGTAGCAAAGACACAGAGGCTTCTTGTAAGAACCCTTTACTAACGGCTTATAACATCGAAAAGGTTTTTCTGATTTATTAATAACTAGGAAAGGCTCTGTTCTAGGAGGTTTGTAAAACTATTTTGTTCCCCAATGTGTGCCATCTATCATTTATTATTATCCCTTACTGTGGAGCTTACTGTCTGAGGATATAAGTCTTGCAAAGATGTATATCCCCATTGATATCTGGACATCAGAAAGACTACACATCTTCTGTCACAGACTGTTAACCCACCTTGTTTCACTTGTTAAACCTGAGACACACACACAAAAAGTATAGCTCATTTGAAATTAATGCACCAGCACTCACAATTATAAGCTTATTTGAAGCGAGAAAAGTGTCAGCCTAAAGGGGCCCTACTATGCTTTTTGGGGGTTTTAGGTGCAGCAGCACAGGCAGTATGAGAAAAATAAAGAGCTTTTTGAACATTAAAGCATGGAGACATGTCACAGTAGAGACAGAAAATACAAATATGAACCTGAAAATGAGCAGAATAGGGCCTCTTTAATTAAATGTAATGTAAGTATTAACTTTCATCTGACTGCCACTCCGTCTCTGTCAGGTGAGCTCTCTGGGTGTGGCCACATTCAGCCTCTGTGCTCTGAGTATTGATCGTTTCCATGCAGCCACCGGCCCCGGGCCCCTACAGACGCCGAGGGTGGAGCCCTGCCAGTCCATCCTGTCCAAGCTGTCCGTCATCTGGGTGGGCTCCATGGTGCTGGCGGCCCCTGAGCTGCTGCTGTGGCAGCTGGTGCAGGAGACCGTCAGCCTGCCGATGCTCCCCAGTGACCGGCAGGGAGGAGGCTCTCTGATGGCCGCCTTAAGGGCCCGATCAGAAGCCTTTAAGGTGGATATCTGCGTCCGAGAGCCGTCGGTGGAGCTCCCAGAGAACATCTACTCTCTGGTGCTGACCTACCATGAGGCCCGCATGTGGTGGGTCTTCGGGTGCTACATCTGTATGCCACTGCTCTTCACTCTGGCCTGCGACTTAGTGACGAGGCAGGTGGTCGCCCAACGTCTCCCGCAGAAACCCACCATTGAAAAAGTGATCGAAAGATGTTCGTCCTCGTCGAAGAAGAAGCAGCACACGAGAGAGCAGAGGCTGCGCACAACTGTGATGTCTCTCACCATCTTGTACGTCATATGCAACCTGCCGGAGAGCATCTGTAACATCACCCTGGCGTACGTCTCCGCCCACGTGTCCGCAGCTCTCCCGGCTCTGGCCCTGCCGGCTCTGGGTTTGCTGGGACAGTTCCTGCTGTTCGTGCGTTGCTCGGCGACCCCGGTGCTGCTGCTGTGCCTGTGCCGCTCGCTGGGCCAGGCCTTCATGGACTGCTGCTGCTGCTGCTGCGAGGAGTGCCTCCCCGATGGCAACTCTTCCTCATCTGCCTCGACTGCAGCCACCTCCAACCCCTCCTCGCCCACATCGCCAACTCCGTCCTCCCTGTCCCCTTCCTGCAAAGATGAGACCATGAAGAGCTTGTTGCCGATAGAACCATCAGTTTGCTACGACCGGGTGAAAGACTCTTCAACAGTTATCGGGACACCCTGCTGAGTTTTAGAACTGCAAATAGGTTTATCATTTAGGTGTATTTGTTTTGTCCATCATATAGTGAAGCAGGGAAGACATATTTTTGTAGGGTGACCCGGAAGTCAGCATCACCCTGGTTCCCTCAATTAAAGACAATGGGATTTTCCCAATGGATTGTTGCATATGAACTGACGTCTTTGATGCTGAGAAGAAATCGTTAAAGTATGTAAGCTTGTGTCAACCACAGATCTTCTTCAACCCATCGAGACGAGGGAACCGGAACTTCTAAATGCTTACACAATTCCGGGTTTTAGGACTCATTCCTGAATCACTCTTTCTCTATCATTTATAAGAATGTTGTACTCTCCAAGTTGATATCGGAGATCTGGGGGAAACAAGAAGTCTGATGTGTCCGATTTTGTTAAGTTCTTCCAGATCCGCAGAGCAGTAAACCGATCAGACAGGTTGGAGAGAAAAGTACACACACTCCTCTGCACCAGTCTGTTTTCCAAGAAGGGAAATCTTTATACTGTAGCATTCAATAAGATTTAGGGGAATAGTATACTTCCTACTTTTCCCTTTTTAACAAGACGATGCCCCCATTATACAAAACCAGCTCCATAAAGAACTGGGTTTCCCAAAAAACAACAACGTTACTGTACAGAGCCCTGATATCTGCTCTATCCAATGCAAACCCAGATTTGATCACCAAACATCACCATAACAATGCTTTTGTCTAAACTTGATTTGGCACCAAAATATTTATTTTCCAAGGTAAAGTTTTAACATAAGGTGGGTCTGTAAAATGTGATGGATGTTACCATTGTTGACTTTGTTTTTCTTTCCGAATTAAGTTTCTTCAACCAACAAATTCGTTTCTAACCTGTTTAAATGTCTGACTGCTCGTTTTTTTATTATCCATTATTCCCTTTGCAGTGAAATCCCGTTTTTTCAGCGGTAAACCTGCAAGTACAATAAAATATTATTAAAACTGATAGAAATGATGGACAAAACTACTGAAATAAAAGTTGTTATAGACTGGAATTATCCTAAGTCTGTATGAACCGGTAGTTTAGAGCCACTGTAGGAGCAGAAACGTGACTACGGTTAGATGATTACAAACAATATAGAATGTCTGATATTGTTTTTGTGCATTTTTTGTGGGGGGATTTTAGTGTTGTCCACCTGTGATGGATTTAATCCTGTTATTTTAGGAGTCATAAATATTTTACAGGTGTTTTTTATTATAAAGTTATTAATATGGATCTAATGCTCTTTCGAATATCTGTATTTTCTGCTCTAAGTACTGTATCAGATAGAAACACTGGACATTAGAGGGATTTTTTAGGGATAAACTGAAATAGAAATACTACTGAGACTTTTTATCGGCAAATTGACTGCTGTGAACTTATTGAAGTATTTCTGTTTGTTTTTTGTACATGATTTTGCTGTTGCTGTTTGTGTAGACAGTAGGTTAAACATGGGGATGAAAATAGGTCATATTAGATATAAATCAGAATTTTGAAGCTACGAGACTTGGGTATAGTCAATTTTTAGGATGTTAGTAGATTCCTTTTGTTTTTAGAATTTACATTTGATTGCCCTGAACAGTGGAGATGTTGATAAATGCTCTATCTGTGTTCACAAAGCCTTTTATACAACAAATGACTGGAATAAAAATGAACTTAATGGATTTAGAATTCCATTAATTCTTATTTCAAATCTGAATTTTATGTTTTTTGTTTTTTTTTCATTACATCTTTGAATATAAAATCTGATTATTACCCACATTTTAAACGAATCCCATCCAAAAACCAAAACAAGTCAACTGATTCATATGTCTTCCTCTGTGCTATAGAAGTGTCACGATCTGTCTGTGTTGTGTTTTGTCTTGTCTTTTTCTGTCTTTGGTTTCCTGTTTTATTTTGAAAAGTGTTCACCCCCTGTCTTTCCTGTTGCTTCCTGTCTCTGTGTTCCCTCCTGCCTGATTACCCGATTGTGTTCACCTGGTGCCCCTGTGTTTTCTCCTCCCTCCTCACCTGTGTCTTGTTTGTGTGATTAGTCTTGTGTGTATTTTAGTTCTGGTTTTTCTGTCTGTCATTGTTAGTTCCTTGTTTGTCTTTGACTGTGTCACGGGGTAGTGTTCTGTTTTCTACTTTGTTACCTTGGATTAAAGGAATTATCTTGGAAATCTGCATTTGGGTCCTGCCTGCTTCACTCAACCCTGACAAGAAGAAGACCTTAACAAATGCTCTATTTCCTCCTGTTTGAGTAATGTTTGCTAAAAACTGAAGTGACCAGCTGAAATTACTTTAGTTTTAATTGCATTTTAAAGATGAACATATTCAGTAGAAAAAATGATGAGCTCGGCAGAAAAGAGTCAGACAATGGGTCAGAAATGGACTAGCTGTTGGTTTTGTTCTGTATGTAGGATTTCTTTAAAAGAAAAGTATAAAATAATTCAAACCAAATCCTGGAAATCTGTGTGGTTTCATAAAAAGCAGGATTTCCCTCAAAGGAAGACCTTGTAAATTAAACTTTTGTGTAAAAAAGAAAAAACTGAAATGACTTTCTGCAGAGATGTCTTTATATGTTGTTGTAAAAGACCTAATTGTATTTTACTTATAAAGTATTGGATTTTCAAAACTGCAGACATCCTGGTCCAGTTAAAGAGTAAAGTCAAATGTTAAACAGCCAAAGAAATTCAGAGAGAAAAGTCACACTGAAAAGACATAAAGAAGAAAAAGAGGAAAAACAATAGAGAAACAAAACAATGGGGAGAGGAGAAATGTTCTGTTATTATCCGACAAAGGAAAAACTGAGCTTCCTGTTAGTGGGGGTGCCTTTGTTCCTTAGCCATCATGTTTTTCAGTAACAATCTGAACACTTGTGGATTAATTTTATTTGGAAAAAGACGACGGATGTTTACTGTGATCTCCATCGGAAGGAATGCTACGCAGCTCTGGACACCCACTGCAGGAGGAAGCTGTGCACGGCAGACTGTGACGCTCCTTTTTGTCATTATTCAATTATTGAAGGTCACAGCTTCACAATAACAGTTGGCCTTTGAGTTTCTGCAGACATAATTAACAAAGTCGCTCTGTGAGCAGTTGCTGTGGAGAGTAGACAGGAATTCCTCGTTTAACCAAGTACTTTCAGCTGTTTCTAGACGTTTGAATGTTTACTTAAAAGATTGTCATTATTTTCTTCTAGCAAACCATTTTCTGCAACATTTAAAACCACTTGGAATAACCAGAAAGACAAATTGTTAATTTAAGAATGAAAAACCTCAGAAGAAATTGAAATACATTTCAAACCATGCAGCTATTCTTCCCAGAATACCAAGAATCCTAAAAGACACATTTTTCAATTTATCAATCCTTTTTTGGAAGAGGGCTTTAAGCTTTCAAGATTTGTCACAGCTTTAAGCTGTGACAAGATATGGATCTTAAATGGACTTTAAATCAATACACATTTAAAAAGGGAAACAAGTACTTATATTGTTGCAATTCAGCATCAATTTAGGAACAAGAAACAAATAGATATTAACAAATAAAAAAGTATTTAACCTTTAAAAGACATAAGGCCACCTATTTGCAGCTTGGCATGGCTCATTCACAAAATTAGTCCATAGTTAATTTCACTTGGTCTAATTCTGGTTTTTGGCCCACAGCTGACCCGAGTGCTGCTCTCTGCCAGACTGCACCCCCCCAAACCTGAGCCAAACCTGAGCCAAACCTGGCAGCTGTGTTGGGCCAGAGCCGGATCGCATTTGGTCCTCTGGGACCAGAAAGAAATGCAAATGTCCCGACACTCAAATGGCCTCAGTTGTTAGAAAATCTTTGACAGATATTAGTACTTTAGGTGCATACCACTTGTTTTAAGAGCGTTTTTCTTTTTGGCTAAAGTGTGCCGTTTTTTTCCTTAGATTAATCCCACACTGTATTTTCCAACATGTTTTTATAAAAGAAACCCACTATCACTACAATGGACACACATACAGTAGAATAAACTGATATTCATGATCTCGCCATAACAATTGGGAAGACAAAAGAAAATGTTTTTTCATTTAGCCTTTTGTATTTCTCTTGAAAAAAGGCTTACAAGAGTAGGAGTTCTCATTGTGTGTAGATTTGTGTTTGGCATTGACTGTACAATGTACTGTGAAGGTTATGCTTTGGACACAATAAACAGTAGAAGTTCAATCTCTGCTTCTCGTTTCCATGATGAAGAAAAACAGCAACTCTGAGTTAAAAGCATCAGGTGTTGGGGGGTGGATGTTTACAGTTTCTTTCAATTGCTAAAAGGGCTTATTTTCTCAAAACACTTAACACAATTCCCAAAACCATACACCCAAAGTGCAAAACACCTCATATATCCTGCAGAATGAAGCACTGCACTCAAGACTACATAAACACTTACCAAAACCAAAGTTGCACCAAAGTTGCACACACTTCATTCATAGTAGGCCTATAAGGCACTTTGTCCAACCAACTACACACTGTGGTGCTTTATCTAAAGCACACTCATCTTTTATGGCGTTCTGTATGTAAAGAATTCTGCATTTAAAGATTGTTCAAGTCTACAAAAATATGTGCAGAAACACAAATATACTGTTGTTATACCTTTATGTTTCTCCAAAACAAATTAGTGCAACATTCATGCACAACACATAGTCACAGTTGTGTAAACAAAAAGGATTTTTTTGGGAGTTTTCGAGATCTGAGCTTAGGTTTTGCTCTTTGAGTTTCATTTTAAATAATTATGATTTGTGTGTCATTTTAGTGTGTTACCAACTGAAAAAAACTGTAAAATCACCGACCGGAAATGCTCTAAAAAGGTCCAAAGATATTATTTTATTAAATAAATTAAGAAGAAGCAGTACAGGGAGATTTTAAAGTTTATTTCAGTGGCTTTATTTTTTTCCGAGCGGTTTAAGAAGAAGTTTTAGACCATGTCTGCTGGAATACTATAAAAGCATAAAGCATTCATTTTCCAAGGGACACCTGCAGGCCCTTCACAGATGTGGCGGGCCCCTAGTTACACTCTGCTGTTGTAAGTTTGAGCTTCGATTTCTTTTGAGCTGAAAAATGTGTCCTCCCACGTCGCTGTGCCTGGGCACAGAGAAGGAGGAGGGGAAGCTTCAATAAGGCCGGCTTTGTTCAGGCGTCCCCCTCTCCGGCTCAGAGAGAGAGACACTTGAACAAAGCTGCATATCAATCGCCGTCCACCAAGGGAGTTGCTAAGCTACACAACACCCACCGCCTCCCACCAGCTGCCCCCGTTACTGAGGAGAGAGAAAGAAGAAAGCGGGAGGAGATGCAGGGGAGGAAAACTGCTGCCGTCCTCCCAGATAAGCCAAAACTCCTCTTTTCTTGGTTGCCTTGACAGCCAGCGGAGACGCATGCGGCATGGTGGCCTCAAGTTAGCATTATGGCCTAAAACCAACAAGGTCCTGGGTTTTAACCCCACTGTGTGTGGAATTCCTGCTGTGTACATGATGGCCCCTCAGGTACTCCCTCCCCAAAAAACAAACAAGTTTTATGGCTTTAAATAATCAATATTAACTGATAATTATAAAACCAACACAGTCAGACACTGTCTGGAATCACTGTCTTATATAGGGCAGTGGGCACTATGTTGTCTACAATTTTAATTAACTGTCCTTGGAGTTGCTTTTTACCAAACTTCATGTTACTGTTATTTGTTGACGTCAAACTTGGAGTTCACTTTTTTCTATCTTTATCTGAAAATCTACAGATACATTTTTACTAGACAGACAATAATCCTTATTAATCTGCAGTTTTTCAAGTGTTTTTTGTAATGTAAATGTAATTCTAAAGTAATGCTTAATCCCAAGTTGGGATAATTAAAAGCTAGTGAAGGGCTACTTTGGAGATACAAGCAATAAATGCACAGGGATATAAAAAGAATTTCAAACAAAAATATCAAAAAAAGCATTCAAAAATAAATTCCCACCTTAGCCATCATTTGTTTTTATGTATTTTGCTTTCAGCTAATTTAGCGGCATATAAATGAATGTATAAAGTAACTACATTACAAAAAGATCCATTAACTGAACATCTTTTTAGCACTGACTAACCTATGCATGTGTTTTGTTCCCTTGTTATAAAGTGTACCTCAAATAAAGCAAATGTGGCCTTCTGCTTTTAAGCCTACTGTTAGTTATGTTAGCATAGCATGCTAATCATCTGTTAAATAGTCTTGACTGCATTATCACGGGGAACTGTAACATATCACAAATAGTTATTGGGTTAGACCTGCAAAATGCTGACACTTTTCTATAAAAAAAGGGTTAACAAAATAAATACAGATTTTGAGTAATTAAACAGGCCTATGCAAATGTGATATGTCATGTAGGCAAAGATTTCAAAAATAAAAGTGCTGTCCTTCATGTGTTTGTGCCCCCAGCTCTCCTCTGTGTGGTCTGACAGCTGGTTTTTACACTTGTCTTGTTCTGTCTCGAGCCTCAGCGGGATGAGGAAACAGACTCAACAGCACAATATCTGTTAGCAGCAACCGCTACCAAGACGACAGCTCAATGCTAATCAGCTATGCTAACAGAGTCCTATCCACATGTGGAGCTCTCTGTCGGCCTGACGCAGAGCCAGAGCGAGGAGTCAGCTCACTGACTGGTTGCTTAGGATCCCAAGACCACAGGGGGCCTTCTGCTCATTACTTGTATTACATTTATACTTATTTATGTTATTATCATGCCATCTAACAAATGGCTTACCATCTTAGGACCTTTGAGGATTTGGGAACAAGAGCTATGTTCCTGTAGCTGGTTCGAAGTTGGTTAAATATCTGGATTTGTAAAATGAACGAATGTCTTATAGAATATAATGTTTTCTGATACAGATCCTAAAAGTTAATTGATGATCTTAAGAGGTGTTCGTGGTGAATGTTTTAACTTTGATTGAGCCAAGCTAGCTGCTTCCCGTCTTTTCCCGCCCTGCTTTGATTTATTAAGTTGTATTAAAGGTCTCCTATCATGC